AAGAGGTCCAGCAACTATGAGACGGGGGAGCAGGTGCTCTCCGTGAAGAATATACACTACCACCCGCTGTACCAGGAAGGGAAGGACAACGACCTAGCTGTGGTGGAGCTGCGCGACAACATCACCTTCAAGAAGAGCGTGACGGCGGCCTGCCTGCCAGAGCGTGATTTCGCTGAGAGCGTGCTGATGGAGGGCAGGCACGCTGCCATCATCACCGGCTGGAGGAAGGGCTCCGACCCCCCCACGCTGGAGGGCTCCCTCACCCTCAACTACCTGAACTATGAGCCGCTGGCCCGCTGTGCCGAGCGACACTCGGGCAAGGTCACCAACAAGATGTTCTGCACGGCGCCGCGAGCCAAGGCCGACTGCGCCTTCGGTGAGGGAAGCCCCGCCCTCACCCTGTACCGCGATGTGTTTTTCCTCACGGGCATCACCAGCCCGCCCCCCGGTCATGACTGCAGCCAGGGCTACGTCTTCCAGAAGGTCTCCCGCTTCCTGCCCTGGCTGAAACATGTCATGGATTCCCACTGAGGGGAGATGGAGACACACGGGGAAGGTTAAAGGCTGGAGTAACTTGCTTTGGTCACTGAGATCAATCTCATAAATGGGCTTTGCATTGTGCCCTATTTGTACCCACCAATAAACAAGCAATGCTTATGTTTTTGTATCTGAAGCCATTTCAGACTTTGGGGATTGATGCAGTTTGTTGTGTAGTTCCATTTCTTTTCCACAAGGTGGCACTCTTGTGTAAAATTAATAAGATAACATGCTTGTGACTAAGTGTAACTGATAGCGTTAAAATCTGTTTAGACCGAGATAAACCACAGTGTTGTTTCTGACTTATTTTTTAGCTGCGCCTTAGTATAACAGTTTTAGCATCTGTAACTGACTGCTGTTATTCGTTAAATCAGAAATGTATCCCAATTAAAGGTCTGATGAATGCTGCTTTGTTCTTTTTTCATGTGCTGTTATGGTTTGTGTCTACATCGCTTCATTTTAATGGAGTCTTGACTGGATGAAGCCCTTTGAACAGACTGTTCTTAAAGATTGAATTGAATAGAATAGAATAGAATAGAATAGAATAGAATAGAATAGAATAGAGGTACTTGATTAATCCCTTTAGATAAATTGGGTTGTGTTTCCATATTCCATCTTTCTCTCTGTAAGAAACACAGACTCACATGTACAACCAGGTCAGAGCACAGGCTCAGCCAATATACAATGGACCTGGAACATTTGGGGTTTAGGGCCTTGTTCTGGAACCCAATATCGATATGATTACTCTATCAGCTACGGGATTTAAACCGACGACCTTCCATGCGCGAGCGCAGATCGCTAACCTGCCGAGACATACATCGCTTCTAATGATGACCAGGGGCAATCTAATCTGAACACGTCGACACACTGGGGCAACCGCAGAGCGTTGTCATGGCAACGTGCTTTGAGAGCTTGCTTTGGATGGGTTTCCTGGTTCCCGTTCTGGGTTTCAAGCTCACTTGCGGCAAACATGAGAACCCAGCCCTGGCTCTGGAGCAGAACACTGGCTGTTTCTGAACATCTCCACCTCCAACGCTCTTTGGGATCTTAGTACCTACTGTAGTTAATAAATCATTGCTGGGGGTACTGGGTTTGTATCCCAGGAGAGATAGATGTGTAAAGTGAATACCCGTGTTATGCAAGCTGCTTTATGCAACCCCCCCACCCCCCCCCCCCCAACCCAGTTTTTGTTCCCACAGGCCTGCTGTGACTCTCCTCACAGCGGAGAGGGAGCGTGAGAGACCACTGAGGAACAGAAACAAAAAACCTGTCCCGCCACTTTGGATGGGGCTCCTGGAAGGGGCTGCCCGTTGCCATGGCGTTCTCCCAGGAGACCGTCCTGTGCTCCCTGCAATCCCACCGGCTCCTTTTTTATAGGAGACGGAGATTAATCCTCATTGACCTCCTCCCTTCCTGAGACTTGGCACCTCAGTCTTGGCGCTGGCACCTTTATCCACCATTCCCATCTATGGACGACGGCAGCAGCGCTGTAGGTGGGGGGGGGGGGGGGGGGGGGGGGGG